CACACACACACACACACACACACACACACACACACACACACACACACTCACACACACACTGCAGTAACCCATTTTCGTCCTTCACAGACACTTTTAGTCCCTACTACTACTTTGCGGCCGAGAGTGGGCCCCCAGTTGCTTCCTGTCTCACTCCAACACACATACACACTTTCACACACACATTATTGCTATCTCGCTGTCACTACTACTTTCACACATAGCTTCGAAACCACTTATACAATGAAAATGACATGGACGCACGTACACAAAGAGCTGGAGTGGTACACACATACATCTCTTCAAAATAATAATGGAGGTAACGAGTGCAGCTCTCCATTCAGTGCTGGGAAACAGAACTGAAAAAGTAGGTAGAAGAGAGACATCATTCCGGGCCACAGAAGCCGGGCCACTCCCTTTCTCCCCTCCAGTCTACGCCAGCACTGGCCGCTCAAGGCTCACTGTTCCAGGTCATAGCTCCAAGGAATCTAATACAGATATGTAACCCCCCCCCATACACACTCACTTCAATCAGGAAAGAAAGGAGTGCGTCTCTCTGGTCTCTCAAAGGGGCCTCATTACAGACCAACACTCAGCTCCTCGTTCTGAGAGATCTAAGAAATGGATTGAGGAACAAAACAATCTCATTATTGCATTTTTTGCTGGGAGTGGCTGAAATGTCAAATTGAGACTGGAAAAGTACCAACACACTGAATTGAAACTAAATAGATTTGCTGAATTAGGCCAAAAAAAATTCCAGTTTAGATGTGGACAATAGATCTAAACATCTCGTAGTTTCCAAACATGACAAATATGCTCGACTAAATTTGTGAAAATGTCTAAATATGATACTCATCATCTGTGAGACATCAAGAATATTTATATTTGGAGTATTGGAGCCATTATAAACATGAATATTTCATTCAGTGTAAACACCAAAGACAGTAGCGTCGGTGGAGAGTTGAAACAAGCCGTACAGAAGTGTGAACAACCATGATTTTTTCAACCTTAAAGGGGTACGCCGCTGATTTCATATTACACGTACATTAAGTTCGGGGACTCACAAGAGACAGATTCAAGAAAGAATGGTCAAAATAAATTTTATGCAGCAGAAGCCGAGATATCCAGACTATTAAGTATTTTCCACTGGTCAGGGTATGAAAACACATAATCCTACATTTCCTACATGCAACGAAATAGCATCTTTGATTAGACTGCCTCCTAAATCCCAATTGCTTTTAAAACAAAAAACAAATCTGAGAGGACCCTGATGACGTCACCGTGACATCATTGTGGAACGTAGACTGAACTTCATATGTAAAATCGGTGAAATATATTTCTATTAATAAGAAACATAATGACCCGTACACACACACACACACACACACACACAAACTCACAAATATCTTACGAGTCCTCTTCTCGTCATTCTCTCACAAACACACATATTGTCACGCTCATGCACAGCCCGATACTACAAGACCAGAGCCAGATTCAAACCAGATGTTCCCCAGATGTAGATAAGGGCGAAAAACACATCAGCTGAAGTACACTACCTTTTCACCTCAGCTGCATGGAGCAGAAACAGATGCGGGACCCGAGCATCCTGGAGTTATGAATGGCAGATACAGTATGTTTTTCAGAAATAAATGGTATGATTACTGTAGATGCTTGCATTACAATTAGGCGTATACAATATCATGGGAGAGCGGGTTTCATTTGAAAGCAGCATTTTATACATTTTTTGGGGAAAAAATGTACTCTGTTTTTGTCAAAATGAACACATTTTGGTTGATCTTTACATATTTGTCAGACATTCCTTTGTCTTGCTGCGGCTTTCTCTAAACCCGTCTCAAAGTCACTTCAGTGGGACCAAAACAAGTCCCTCTCAGAAACATATGCATGGCCGAAAAAACAAAGGATCGGTTTACACCCAACTTGCTCCGCCCTTCAACCCCCCCCACCCCCTCCACGCCCACAAACACACTCTGCAAAAACAATATTTTAGAGAACGTGTGTCACGGCCAAGACAGCACAGGCTGCTCTCAGAAGAACAAGAAGTGCTTCACATTTACAGATAGATGCACGACGGCTACACACTCACTGGCTCACCGCTGCTCAAAGAAAATAAATCTGAGACCTCCAATCTTTATGTTACACCGGCACCCCCCAGGCCTGCCCCTGAGGAACTTACCCCCCCAAAACAAACACAGTCAGGGTCTCATTGGGCACATTTCATCTTAAACCTGTTCACCCTGACATGCAAGCTCCCCTGGAGAACCCCTGACAATATCCAGCTGCCAGTGAGCGGCCTCGCTCTCCTTGCACCCCAAATTTCTGCAGACCCTGCCCTGGAAAGCTCACACACTCCTTCTTTCACTCACTCCTCCGCCCTCCCCCACAACCCTACCTGTGGCCCTTGACAGCTGGGTGAATGAACTCCTCCCACTTATGTGTGGAGTACTTGTACCTTTTGTGTGTGTGTGACTTCATTTTGGGGTTCACTGCCTTTTTTTTGTTTCCTCTGTGCATCTCCCCCATCCCCCTCACAATTTAGTTTTACAACCCTCAGATCGCTTGTGCTTGGAGATATATATATACAAAAGAAAAAGAAAAAGTTGCATTGTGTCTCCCAGCCTGGATGATAAATGACTCCCCGCTCAGTATTTAAATCTCTGTAAATCTGAAGATCAAACAATAACCAGAGTAGACAACTATATTTCAGTGTGCAGTTAGGTTGTGCTACACGTTTAAATATAGTCTTTTAAAATGCGGTTGATCCATGTTTACTGTTTTGTGCATTTTTCATACTCCTACTGCACATAACTTGGCTTCTGCACGCGTTTTGCCTGCAGGCATCCTTTACAACTGTCATGCACAACTTGTTTTGTGTCAGATCACAATCTATCGTATGAACGTTGGAATACATGTGTGCATATGTGTGTCAGCGTGTATGGATGAGCTGCTCAGAGGTGATAAGTGACATTTTTCCATCAGTGGTTAGCAGGCGGCTACGGATGCTAGCCTAAATGATGTGCACACACCGTTTCCTGTCTTTCCCTTTTACTTTCTTTAATTCTGTTGCCATCTTGTTGTAATTCTCTCATTTGCCGCACCGCATTTCTGCACGAGGTCTCTCTTCTTCTCCTCGCTCGTAATTGTTATGATTGATGTAACAATATACTGTCTGCGGTGAGCCTCTTCTCAGTATTTGCTTCCTCAAGTGAAGGGCAGTAGGATGTGGAAACCCCCACACTGCACCTGTGAACCAACAACTTCCTCTGCTCTGTCTCTGCTCCCTCCATCACAGATTCTCCATTCACCACAGAGACTTCCTGCTGAAATGCCACTGCCAAACATCCTCTTGGCGTTTCACTAAAGAGCATCTTCAGCGCCAAACTCTCGGTTTCAAGGTCCTCGTTTAGCCAATGACCTTTGACCTGCAGTTTAACAAAAACTATTTTTTTTTTCTCAAAACAACACAGCGAAGCAGGACGTATTGCTAATGATATTGGGTTATTACGGTTGTATTGTAGCTCTCGTACTGTGCCAACACATTAATTAAAACCACAATTTTATGTTTTTCAAAGTTTAGTTTTTTGTGCAGATTATACAAATGAGATTTGAAGTGTTAATTTGTAAACTTTTGACGTGCTGGTAGGCAGAGTTTGTTAAATCTGGAGAGAGACACGCTGGCCGTTTCCAGTCTTGAGTTGAAGATAAGATAAGGTGCTGGCTCAGCTTCTTGTTAACCATATAGACACAAGAGAGGCATCGATCTTCAACTCTGGCTCTAAATCATTAAAGTGACAGTTAGTTAGTCTCATTTTTCATAAACGTTCCCTATTTTTCTGAGCAGCATCCTTCCATACAACTATATTTGTGTTATTCTCTCTTATCTGGTAAATATCGGTGAATCAGTAGCATTTGAATGAAAAGAGGTGAATTGATTTTTTTTGTTGCTAGCACAAGACCCACCGGGGGGGCACACACCAAAACACACAGCACTGAAGGCGACAAGAAGAGGATTACAAATTTGATGTCGAACAATGAGTTGACTGTAAATACAGGTCAGAGAGCTGACAAAACAGTGAGGTATCATGCCGCCGAGGCCTCATTATCTGCTGCTGAAACCTCAAATATGACCGTGTATAAAGGCCTCTTGACACACAGATTAGTAGGGAGTTAGGGAACTGGGGCACAACTTTAATTGACTATTATGTGTCACGATGGGAAAGACCTAAAATAACAATACAAGTTTGTGCTGAAGATTTGTCAGCAGAGGAAAAGCTCCTCCAATAACTATCATGTTTTTTTTAATTTAGGGACTGTACGGAAATAATTAGGAGCAACAGAGAAGGATAAGGTTATGTATTTGTTCTCCTTGTTGAACATCTAAATATTTTTGTCTAAAACAATTATTTTTGTCTGCACAATAGTCCATAAAGGCACCTTTATTCATATGCAGAGGTACAACAATCAAGTCTCTGTATCAGGGCTTTATTTTCCACTTGACAATTATAGTAACTATATCTAATAAACCGTAATATCTAGGGATGTAAAGAACGCACCGTTTTTTACTCTGCCAACAGTCTCCTTTACTTTTTGGTTGGCTTTCACGTGTTTGGCAATTGCTAATTCCAACATGCAATTTGGGCTATTTGAAAATATGGAGTGATTATGTCGGGAAGTAAGGTGATGTTGGTTTGTTATTTTGGAAGGCACAAACAAATAACATCATCCTAATGATGGGGTTAGATCCTTTCTCTGTCTCATCCAAACAACGTATTTGGTAAGCCGTAGCTTGTGTAATTTAAATAAATAAGTCTAAGGTTGAGATTTGCTTTGTGTATTTAAGGGACGTTGTTGAACTTTTGATAAGAATGTGGAAATAGCTTTTTTTTTAAAAATCAAATGAGAAACATTCCACGGTGGTGACGTAATTTCTTCAAGGCTCTGTCGGGCATCGTCACACACAGAGCACACAAACAATGGCCGCTCCGCGCTCGCTGCTACCTGCTTTGACATGATTAAAGCAGTGCATCTCATAAACCGTTAGCAGAACATTGGCCTACATTTGCAACGTCTGAGCGGGGAAAACATTATGAGGCTTGCCAGAAGTTGACTAATGTGTACAAATAGTAAGTGAGTGTGTGTAAAACCTGGAATAACCTTCCAATGAGGGCCCTCGGCCGGCTTGCAGAGCCTTCTACTGTTACTGGAGAGCTATGTAGCAATAACACTGCCCATGTAATACAGAGAGCCGAGGTAATAATAAGAAAGAGGAGAATCTATTTACCAAACACGAAAGGAAAGAAGAACCTATAGTTCAGAATGATTATGTACAGAAAGAGATGGGTTATAATAGGTGTAGGAAGGGTCATAGAGAGAACATTATGTATTATAATAAATAAAAGCAAAGGCCTTTCAGGAGTCATTCAATAATTGGAAATAAAGATATTACGAAAGAGTTTGAGGGAATTTTCTTTCAGCATTTTTGCTTAAAAACAACTTAAATGATTATCCAAATTGTTGCAGATAATAGTCGTTTTCTTTGAGCAGTGAAAACTAATTTATTTTTATTAAATTGCTTCATTTAATTCCGAGTTATAAGTTCAAGGCATAAGTCAATTAAGAGGTCAAGAAGTCAGAAACTCATTTTGCAATTATAAACCGAAAATAGCACTGTTTCCTCTCTTTACTTCTATTAGAAACCACTTGCACATGGTGGAGGCATTCGGGGCGTTTGAGTGTTTTTTCCCCCCAGCTCACATACAGAATCAGGGCCTATATCCAAATGGGGATGTGGTACAACTGCAGGAGAAGTCAAAATGTAGCAGACTTTCCAGCTTGCCGCTCACGTGTAGCGGTTCAACGTGACTCGAGGACAAGGGCAGGGTGCCAAAACAAGACGTGATGTAAGAGCTTACACGCGAATGCGCGTCACATTTGGGGGCGAAGGGGGAAATGGCCGCCATTGCTGAGATATTTGAGCTATTTCTAATCCTTTCTGAAGGAGAAGTCGGGTTGCCAACAGAGTGCACGAGCAACAGGTTTGGAACGGGATAAAGTTGCATTAATTGCAGTTATAATACGATTTTTTTTGTCTTTTCGTGCACTTTGCATATTTTATTCTGCGCACATTTTGCAGCACTTGAATGCAACCGTAGTTGGATTTGCGTTTAATTGTCGTACGAATGTGTGCAAGCAATGTTTACCTCCTGGCTGCGCTCCAACAATGACTGTTATGAAGGGAGCCACGTGACTCACTCCTCTAGTAGGACGTCCCCGCTGTCTTCACAGTCCGTTACAAACAAGTCGCAGATAAAGGGACGCAAAGTAGCGCTTTCAACGTGACACTGTTTGTCTCCACGGAGCTGTCAGGGACACATTTGAATTCCTCTGTGCGGAGTTCGCGGACGAAACGCTCGAGACGGGAAACTCAAAACTTTTGAAAACTTTTGACATATTGACGCTGATGGTAAGAGGGGAATGTCCTATTTTTATTATCGTGGCTTGACATTGTTATAGTTTATTTCGCGCATTCTTGTGTTGATTCATTTTAGATTTGGTCTGAGTTCATGCAAACTAATGTTTAATTGAGTTTCTCCGCGTTGTAAGTTATTATGCATTTAAATGAGCCAATGTAACTGTTAATTAATCCTATTTTGTTGTTGATGTTTACCATGTGGCTGTGTGTGTGTGTGTGTGCGCGTAATCTGAGTGCAAAGTGCTTTGACAAGAGGCGGACTGTTTGTTTCGCATCTCATTGCCTCACATCCGCAGTGAATCTAACTGCGCCACGAAGTGTTTTTTGCACACTTAACGCAGCCTTTAAATGCACTTTCTGGTGTTGTGTTCATTTTGAACTGCAGTCATTTTTCTCGAGGGGGTTTCGGGTAAGATATTGAAGGTTTTCTCGGTGTTTTTACTGCACAGTGAGGACACGGAGCACAGCAAACAGATCTGCACGCCGCGCCCACTTACTTTTCGACGCAAACAACTCTCACTCGGAGAGAGCAGACCTGTTGGGGAAAGAAAGACATTATGGTTTTTGGGTTATGCGTTTTCCACATCAAGTCTTTTTTAATATTTATCCAACTCTGAACGAAACAGAAACGAGGAAATGGAAGTTGTGCTGTTGAAATCCATTATTGCTTGTGAGAGTATTTAGTACTGAAGAAAGTGTTTCAATGTGTCGCCCGCTGCGGTTAAAAAACACGTTTTATTGAAAAAAGTTGGAAAAGTAGACCTACATCGTGAAATGACAGACTATTTGCCTGGAGAAAGTGCTCTACCTAGTTACACTGTAGATGTCAAACTCTTACGTAACGCTTTGCCCCCCACCTCCCTCCTCAGCACACGGGGTGTTGTTGTTCTGTCTTCAGGCTGATCTTGGATCTGATATAATGTGTCGTCGTTTCTAAAAGTCCCTCTACACATTTATCCTTTCTGTGTTTTATGAATGGCCCTGAATACGACAATATTGTGTGCATAATTATTGGTTATTATCCCCCCACACACACCCTTTGTCCACAAGTTAAGTTGTACTCATTTGATAAGATTGCACATTTATTGAAGTATAATATGCACAATGTAATAAACAATATTAACTTAATGGTACTATTTCAAGGTTTTGAAACAGGGCCCCTATACAAACAGAGCCACTTAAGGGCCCTTATGAACGAAGTTAAGTGTCTGTTAGTGTAGCACACCATTGCACAAATTTGCAATTAATCCTGTTAACACAAACTAGTTGAAATTGCCTCTGGGCAACGCTCAGGACCCATGCAAATAAATAACTTCGATTTGATGGTCAAACCGGCAGAATCGATTCTTATTGATTTAAAACAATAAAAACAGTTAATTTAATTCAGAAATCGGCACCTGTTTGCAACATTTAAGATCAAGAAAATACAACTTTTGAGACCTCGAATAGTATCAGCAGCAGAACTATACACCTCTCAGCTCTGTAGTGGTTACTGCCCATCCCAGAAAACACACATCTTCTTGTTTTACTGCACACACACATAAAGCACTGAGGCCCAGAGAGTACAGTCAGCAAGGGATGTGGTTAGGATTAAAACCGTATCTCTCTCTACATAGAGGTACTGCAGAATGGCATACAGTAAAGATGGAGAAGCATGGGAGATTATCAATTACCAGTGTAGTAAATTAATCCCAGAATTCAACAGTATAGCTCTAATGTGGGTTTATGGGAAACATTCCCACATGGGCTTTTTTTCCTCTGTGACCTGCTGACCTTAGCTGGCGATCTTTGACTGGCAGACACCAGAGCAGGTGGAGAATCAGGTTCACACGGCAGGGTAGGGAATTGCGTGGCAGATTTATTTGGTGTTGGTTCAGTTACCCTTTGCTGCAGTAATTACTCAGCGGGTTAGGGCACACGTGTATTTGATCACATAAAAACACGAAAAAAGACGCCCAAGAGGGCAGTGTACTGCCTGTGTGTTGTAAGAAAGTAATCTGTGCCAGTAAAAACCCAGATCACACCTCACTGGAACTCAGCAGGCCTAACGGTCGACCTCTGACCTCCCTCTAACACTCTGTGTTTATTCTCCGACAGGGACGTGGCGATGGCCTCTCCATCCACACCAACAGCGGGACCGGCTACGGCGCCTCACCCAGAGCTCTCCGGCCTGGGGGGCGTTGAGGCCTTGAATTTGAAGGTGGGGCCGGTGCGGAGGAACCTCTTCGGGTCCGTGGACCACCAGCAGCTGCAGCAGGACTTCCAGCGGCTGCTCTGCGCGAATGTGGAGGAGGCCAAGAAGCGCTGGAACTTCGATTTCCAGAGGGAAACGCCAGGAGAGGACTCCGGCATCGAGTGGGAGGAGCTCGGGCACCAGGACGTGCCGGCATTTTACCGCAGCCGCACGGTTAGGCCCGCGCTGCCGCGGCCGACGTCCCAGAGTCGGACGTCGTCTTCGTCGGGCGAGGGTTCCCCAGGGTACGGCAGCTCGTACGGATCCGGGGATGAGTACCTGGAGGTGACCACGAGGGGTTGCTACCAGATCCAACGGCACGCTAAACACAAACAGTCTGCCATCACAGGTAAAGCAACATTTGAGTAAAAGTTATTCTACAACAGCTTTTTAATTCTTCTCTTAATCATAATTCTGAGACTGTAAGTGCTTTTCCTGACTTTGATCCGTCTTCTTTTAACTCTCCAGATTATTTCAAGGTGAAGAAGAGGAAGCTTCTGCATTACAAAGCATCTTCTTGGCAGTAGAAAAGCACAACTAGACCCAAGCGGAGGATCACTTAGTACTCGACATCCCTCTACACGTCCCCTCACACAGACATGTGTCGTATCATATGTATATATGTATATATATATATATATATATATATATATATATATATATATGGAGCAATTTGTAAGTGACTGTCCACAAGCTCATTCAGCGCAAGCTCCTCTGACACCACATACCTTAAGTTTTCAGCACAAGGAAGCTACCATTTCCCTAGTTAGTCTAGCTCAGTCTTTAGGAACGTTTTTTGTTGAGAGTTGTAAATATTATACATGTCCTATATACTGTTTTCCTCAGCTGTTGACTATACTGTGAACTTATTTTGAATGCACTCTTGATAACAGAAAACTGGCTCTAGTTTTAAGAGGTTGATTTTCTTCTTGGATAGTATTTGACCTCAGTCCTCAACCTGTCTTTTTTTCTCTCCCTCTTGCTAAAAGTCATAAGAGGTTTTGATTAGATGACTTACTATTCCTGGCCTCACAGCGCACTTAGCCTTTAGTCTCACCCCGGGGGCTCGGATAGCAACGAGTCATGCCAGGGGTCGAAATCTCACCCAGGGCTCAAAATTTGTCAGCGTGCCTGTGATTAGGCTCCAGGGCAAAGGACAACGGTGGAGGTTCAGCAATGAGGTAATGCGGTCGTATCGGTCGTAAATTCCTGTGGGACAATTTATTTAATATTCACTATGTTAGATCATCGTCCCAAAAAAGAAAGATTGTGGAAACCTGCGCCATTGCCCCCAAATTCTGCCTTAGCCTATAAGTCATAATAGGTCATCTACGCTCCACCGTTGTCACTTAAAAATATTGGTCATCTATAATGAACACATTGACAACTAAAAATATACAAACTGCAAATCATATTCCCTTTGTGCATTGCATTGTTTGCCTCATGGGGCTGTACAAATCTCTGTATATTTTTTGGCAACAGACCAGAACATACCTTGTTTAGTTGTATATTTTTTCGGCTTTCCGCTTGTAATAACGTAGCATTTTTCATGTGACGTCCACCTCGTAGGTGATAAATATGCCTCTGAAGTGTTTTATCACTGTGTTGAAGCTCAAAGGAATCCAAACCTCTTGGTTCCATTTTGTCTTTAAAAAAAAAAAAAAAATTTAGTGTGAAAAATTGTGTTGCTTCCCTTTTTCCGTCTCTGTACCGTTCTATACGTGTTTTTGCGTACATTTGTTTGTGTATGAATGTGTTGGTTTGGTGTTTATCTTGAGGTTTTTCACAGGTTGCAACAGTTGCGGCAGCAAACTCCGTTGAACCAAAGAGAAATTGCAGTGCCATTCAAATCAGACGCGTGTCAGGCCGCTCAATGTTTGAGTGGTCAGTGAAGGGTCACAGAAGGCCTCAACCAAGTCAGGATATTCAAATATATAGTGTTAATGTGCCGCAGCTGCCCAACGTACAGTTTTGGTGACTCAAATAGGATGTGCCTGCTTCTCATCCCTACCTATAGTCGTTCTAATTTGTATATGGATAAAAAGCCATAACCTGGATTAATCTACTTTTACTACCTCATCAAGTGATTCAAATTGCGTAAAAGTCACACGCAAAATAACAAAACCAATGGAGGTTGTTTGCGTCTACAGGCGAAAGAGAGACAGAGACAGAAACAAGGGAGGAGGGGGGGGGGGGGGGTCTCCTCATTTTGTTGTGGTAAAAACTGTTGAGGTTCAGTGCTCGGGCGTCGAGTTTCACATCAGGTAAAAGAGTCAAGTGTCAGTGTGGCCCAGCTCAGAGGAAACGACCAGGCGGCTTTTGTTGTCCTCTCTGCCTCACTTTGCTTCCCCATGAATAGACGGAGCAGAGGCAAGGGGACAAACTTCAATAAGGGAACATTCACCAGAAAGTGTCTCAGATCAAAAGGATTTCTCCAGCCAGACTCGCTTTTGTCTGCTCCAAGTCTCTCTTTCACCAAACCAAGCGCCTCAATCTCTGCGAATAATCAGCATGAAAGGAGTCGTTCATAATCATGTTATTCTTTCATGGCTCCACGAGGCGATATTTCCACGTTTCTTAAAATAGCAAACATGGGATTACTTGCTTTTTTTAAATCAACTTATCTGTGTGTGAGAGTAAATGTGTGTGTGTGCACCCATCTTCTCAGACGAAACTTTCAATGTCTATATTAACTTATTTTGAGTTCGTATCATTTTAAAGTCCCTATGTTTTTTGGTATACAACTACTAATTGTGTTATTTCCGAAACTATATCTTTGCACTACTATTTCTAACAAGATAACTATTTTTTTATGGTAATCTGTAAAAAAGAAAAAAGAAATACTCGCTGAGAAACTGAGACACAGATTGGACATTTGACATTTTAAATTAATAAAATCGTTTTTCCCCTTCAAATCACACTTACACCGTTACAAACAGTTTCTAAATGTGTTCATTAAGTTGGTTGTGTAGCTCGTTAGTCTTCCTCAAGTCCGTTAGGTGGAAAAACCAAAATGATAAATATAAAGATTGACCCATTAGTGTCTCACTGCGCTTTCCTAAATCCCCCGTCGCAGCTATATTTAAGTTGTGTTGTTGTTGTAACTTTGTATATGCATGAATGTATGATAATCTTTGGAATTACTTTATTGTAATTTAATGCTGGTGTTTGTAACCTTGCAACATGTAAGAAGTGCACATGTTTGGGATGAGAATCGTATCCCTTTTGATAATATTTGTAAATATATTTCTGGGTTGTCGGTGCGCTGTTATTGCCTATCATATTGTTGATTTCTTATCGCGTACTCAAAATAATAAAAATTAATGAATAAGATTGATACAAACGAAGAAATATTGGTCTGAAGTTTTGTTTCCGCTCTGTTTTGAAGTGTTATGAGCAGCATGGATGTATTAAGAGAAGCAGAGAAAGGTTGAAATGTAAGGTTTCTTATTAACAGCACCCCCTGGTGGTTTAAAGGTAACACTGCACACAAAGTCAATCATTTGGCAGTACTTACAAGCTATAATAAAAGAAAGTTCAGAAAGGAAACACTCGTTACATGATCAAAAACTATTTAACCTACACCATTACCGTCCTACTATCTCAAATATTCAGTGTGTAAAATTTACTTTGCATTTATTTAAAATGAAAATATGCATTTACATCAGTTAAAACTGAAAAAGTACACATGAATAAAAATAAAACAACAGAGACACCACAGATAGTGTTACAAATTCCACACACATTTCAATTTATATCCTTTTTTTACACTTGGCAAGTTCAGAGAAATCAGAGGTGCAGGTTTCATTTTCCTAGTTTAGCATAAGGAACACACCTCATTAATAAAAGTGATGAAGATGATACCAAAATGCCCAGATGTTAAAAGACCTTTAAACGGTGTCAACTATCTGTTGCGTCTGGAAAATCAGTGTCTTTCTTACTGATTTTAACCAAGACAATCCTCCCCAAATTGTTGTCTGGTTGCTGACCACAGTGTCTGTTAAAGTAGACAACCGTCCCAAATATAAACTAGCACATAGTTGGTGTTATAGGAGGTTTTCTTTCACCCTTATGACAAGAATTGATATTGTAAAAAGTGTTTTACCTTCATTTGGCCTTTAAAACATAATAACAAATCTATTCGGACACAGACAGAGGGTCGAGTTCCCCAAAACAAAAGTGCAAATGTGCAGCTTCTGCTATAAAACAGGCAAAACACGTCTCTTCCGCAATGTCAGTGTGTATTTTACATTTTAATGTGCGATAGGGAAGCTACACTATAAACTCAATGTGTGAAATAAGACCATAGTAGATTTGACTCGTCGTGTTTGTGTGTGTGTGAGGGGTTTTCACAGCGGCTGCTTGTGACTTACGACACCAAAACTGAAAAAAAGAATGAGCGTGTTTCAATCTGTGACAGAATCGAGAGAACCAGTCCCCGTATGCACAATATATACTTTCTAACCCTGATTGCGCAAAACTGTAAACAAGAGAAATCAAGTGGCTGTGATGAGAAAGTTTCCTAAAAAACCCAGCTGACATCCGAGTGGTTCAGTAAAATCATCAAGACGTTGCCTTGTTACCAATACTACAGTGCAATGCTCATTATCTCGACCACAAGCAACAAAAATATCATACATATCTACAACAGCTGACAACACATTTCTACATTTAAATTATTATTCACATTCTTTAGGCGATCCTGACCCCCAACTCATCTCAGAGGGCCTGATCTTTAAGTTAAGAACCCATGATTTAAAAAAGGCAAAACTTCATTCAACTTGACCCAATCTACATTTTAAAAAGGTTTTTTACATCCATTTAAATCATAAAATATATACAATAGTACATGCCGTGATGGCCCCGCAAGGCCTGAATTCACAGACTGGACAGCTTCCTTTAAAAGCCTTTTTCAAACAGGCACTTCAACACAACCTCTCAATCCTCGAAGTCAAACTAAAAGAAGCGTGCATTTACATTTTTAGGCTTTTAGCGAGTGGATAAAACTCCAGTGTTGTGCTCAGAGACTGTCTGTCTGCTCACATGGGTGTTAATAGACAAACACCGGTGGTTGTGGGAATGAAAGTGGCGTCTCTCTTAAGTCTGGGTCACCTTAATCGTTGTGGCGGTGAGGAACCTCATCCCACGGATCTTTCCACCTCCTCGAAACTCACCTAAAAGCAGCCGTTTGTGAGCAGCCCTGCTGTGCCGTCACTGATAAGAGTAGGAACATTATGGCTGCCAGATGTTTGACGCTTTCACAGCTGGCGTCGCAGCGCTTGTCTGTCTCTCCACATGGCACGCACCTCTTTGAGGAGCAACGGAGTGATGAACACAATGCTGCCCCCTGTCTGTAGCATAAGAACACCAGGAGCAGAGTTACACAAGGGTTGTGCTGATTAATGTTATACAATCACATGCTGCGGTGTTGCTGTGGGTAAGGACACACTAATGCTTCCACCAGTGCACTAACAAGTGGTGATAAAAACATTTAAAAAAAGGAAGAAGCGCATCAAAAACATGGGGTTGATAGCTGGAAATTCAAATTTACTTTAAACCCATGCAAAACATACTTCATACATTAATATACTTAGAGTAATTAATGACAATGTATTGTAAAAACAAACACCGTTAACACATTTTGTTGGGTCAATGGGTCTGTTCCTCATCGACACATATGAGCAACACCTGTGATTCCCCTATGATTCCTATAAACATTTTTTATTTTTTTCAATAATTTTGGCCGTTTTTATTTACATGGCACACATTTAGGCATGGGCATACGTTTTTTTCAAATTATATTTTGGAAGTTTAAACATGGCTCCTATGATAAATTTATGACAAACGGTGGAGCCAAAACACAGACTCCCAGACCCTGAAGGACTAAATGTCTCCATTAACACCACAATGTTTGGCTGTCACTCTATTATATCAGGCTTTCAATCTAGAGCCCTGGCTTCAGAATTGTAGTTTTTACTATTTTTCCACCAGATTGAGCCATTTTCTCATGTATGTATACTTTACGGCAGTGGTCCCCAAACTAAGGCCCGCGGGCCGGATACGGCCCGCCTCCACATTTGGCCCGGCCCCCTGAACAATTCCAGAGACGCATTATGATTTTTTTTCAGTCTGGCCACGCAAATCCTAGACTAGCCCCTGTCAAATAGAACGGAATAATGGCGAAAAGGTTAGGTAAGAGAAAAGTTGATTCAGAATGCAGGGTATTTAACCTGCAGTGGTCAAACGATTATTTTTTTGTTCAATGCAAAGAAAAGGCTGTTTGTCTCATCTGTCAAGAGGCGGTGGCGGTATTCAAAGAATACAATCTGCGCCGACACTATGAATCCCGTCACAAAGACAAGTATGATAACTTGCAAGGCCAAATGCGAGCAGACAAACTCTCAAAGCTAAAAAGTGGACTGTTAGCTCAGCAGAATACATTTGTACGCCAAGCTCAGCTGAACCAGTCATCCGTTCGGGCCAGCTTTCGGGTTGCTCAACTGATAGCAAGCAGCGGTAAACCTTTCACTGATGGAGAGTTTGTCAAGAAATGTTTGAATGCTGTCGCGGAAGAGGTGTGTCCCGAGAAGAAAGATGTCTTTAATGCTGCGAGTCTGTCGGCGAGTACAATCACCAGACGCATTGAAGAAATCGGGGGTAATGTATATGCCCAGCTGCAGCAGAAGACGAAAGAATTTGACTTTTTTTCATTAGCACTGGATGAGAGCACGGACGTGCAAGACACAGCGCAGCTGCTCATTTTTATTCGTGGAGTTAGCGCAAACTTTGAGATGTGCGAGGAGCTGGCAGCCCTCCAAAGTCTCAAAGGGACTACAACGGGGGAGGATATTTTCGGCAAAGTATGCCAAACCATGGAGTGGTCAAAGCTTGCCAGCATCACGACTGACGGGGCTCCTAGTATGGTGGGCGTGTCTTGTGGTCTAATAGGACGCATGAACCGGGAGATGGAAGCACGGGGTCTCACCGCCCCGATACAAGTCCACTGCCTAATTCACCAGCAACTTTCTGGAAAACAATAAATGTTTACATTTAGGCACCCCTGCGATCGTCACACTTTTTCTGTTACAAACTGACCCCGGCCCCCATCAGAGAAGGGAAAAGTTATGTGGCCCTCACAGGAAAAAGTTTGGGGACCCCTGCTCTACGGGGTCAAATACATGCTCTCAGGACATCAGAGCAATTCTTTTAAAAGTGAGGCAAAAGGGTTAAAAAGGCCTGTTGTGATTTCTTACCATGACGATGAAGAAGTAGAAGACACACATCCAGCCCAGCTTGCTCTCAATCAGAGACACCAGGTACTAGAGGATGACAGAGACAGAAATGCACAAGTCAAACGTCTACGTGAGGGTGCGACTGCATGGCTGTGTAATTGATACACAGCCATGTGTTTTGAAAGCGTCAATGCAAAGCTAAGATCCAAACTAAAACCCACTGCAGTACTCTCACAGTTACTGTTATTCCAGTGCAGTGATTCCACTTCTAAAAGTAAGTTGATGACTACTTATACTAATGAGTAGTAAAAATAAGTAGATTTGAAAGTGCAAGCTAGCGATTCCATTACATAAACATACAAACATGGTGTCAAATGTATTCCTTTCAGGATATTGGCTCTGTATTAAATGGAGTTCGAGCCGCACAACGAGAGTGTCTTAACAAGCCACGACAAGATGATCGATGCTTTCTGATAGCTGAACAAAGAGACTGACCACGGTAAAGCACATGCACACAGAGCTACACGTGTGCATGTGCTTTATCACTGGGGAGATCCATCAAAAACCCTCTTTTATGTCCTTTATTCTGTAGTTTAATCTCGACTCTTCGTGCTGTTTGAAAGCATTTGTTTGTATAGAGAACAGACGTTTCCTTGTGAAATGTCGGGTGTTTTTCGTTCACCTGTCCGATGGCCGCTCCTATACTTCCAGTTCCGTCCACTATGCCAGTGACGGTAGCCAAGGCCTGCTGACTGCCCCTCAGAGCCTCCTGTCTGCCGAGGTCAGCAGATATGGCCGAGCTGATCATATTAGACGGGCCGCCAATGAAGAAGCCAGTGGTGGCTAACAGCGCGCTGTTTATCACTTTGTCGTTCGGGGAGTCTGAGAAGGAGAGAGAGTAGGAGTCGTACTGTGGCCAACACTGACTTTCATCAACCTTGTATTTTTATATTTTGGTAGATTGTTGCTGATTGATTTCCTGTTGAAGGATTAATAAACTAATCTTAAAGTCTGTACTCACTGCTGTATCCCACCAGGGCTCCCATCGCCAGCAGCAGGCTGATGGCCAACACTGGAGCTCTCTTCCCCATGCAGTCAGAAATCAAACCCTGAACTGTCCCTCCTGACGCAAAGACACAAAGTGACAGAGACGCAGTGAGAAAAGAGGATGTTTATGTATACAAGAGACTATGATTAAATAAAAAGGAAGAAAATGCGTAAATTGTCCAGCCACTCACCGATAATTCCTCCAACATCGTACCACACAGACAGGCGGTCGGCCTCGGCTTCCTTCCAGCCGAAGTTGTTGCTCAGGTAGAAAGGAAGCCAGAAGAAGAAGGAGTAGTTGACCAGCTTCAGACACGCATAAGCCAGGGAATACTGCAATGGAAGAAGACACAGAGTCAACATGCGTCATATCGTTTAATCTCCATTTGTTTAAAAAGCCCTTTGTAAATGAATACGTCTTGACTTGTTGGAGCTGCGCACTCACAGGAAGCACCCCAGGCAGACAGAACGCCTGGCAGAAGCTGATGGCTCGAGGAGTCTCTGCCAGAGGTTCATCCTCCGCCTCCACCACCACCACATCCTCCTCCTCCTCTTCGTTCTCCTCCTTGTCGCTCATCAAAGGCTTGTGGCTGTCCGAGTCCGTCTCCACCGCGCTCAGTCCGGTCTCTGAGTCCGAGCTCAAACCTGACACACAAAATCACACATTCAAGCAGTGGAGATCCAATCAATTTAGGCAATCGAGACACTAAACCGTTTCTATTTCAGGCAGAGTTCAAGTTCAAAATAGCGTCCGTCATCATCATTCAGCCCTTACCGATTTCTTTTGGAGAGGTAAGCAGGCCAAAGAAGACCACGATCCCCCCGGCAAACTGGACCACTGATGTCACCAGGAAGGCATACTGCACGCAGCCACAGACGGCACATCATGTTAGCATTTAGCTGCTGAGAAAATTATAGTAAAAGGTCTCAATAAGTGTGTGTGTGTGTGTGTGTGTGTGTGTGTTTCTTACCTCATATCCGTACTTGAGCACGCTAGAAGCCAGGAAGGCCCCCAGGATGTTGCCTACAGAGGCACAAGCACTCCACAGGCCAAACACAAAGCCCCGGCTGGAAGACAGCATCATGAGAAGAAAAATTTACGTCAGTAATGTTCCTATTCTTAAAAATATCCTACTAAACACAACTTCAGGCAGCTCAGTGACAAGCTATCTTTATATTCAGCAAATTACGTTCACAAGTCCTGCCGCTGAGGAAAAACAGAGTCTCAATAGCGTCTATGTTTTGGCCGCAGCGCCACTGAATGGATGTCATTGTGAGTGTTTCCCGTGTGTTTCCGTGTGTGGTGGGTGTGTCATCATAAAGCTCCACTTGCCAAGACACCAACTCGACTAAATATTTCGAGCAGCGTCGGATAAATGCAGGTTTTTTTTGTAAACGGAGAAATGTCACGCACCCCTGCTTGCCGAACCAGTTGCCCATGACGGCCACAACGCAGGGCCAGACGGCCGACTGCAGCAGGCCGTTCACCACCCACAGGCCGCAGTACAGAAAGATGTTGTAGATGTGGAGCCATTCGGTGAGAGTGCCAAAAACAAACTCCTACAAAACACACAGACGGCTACAGTTGTATTCCAAAATATCATACAAATACAGTGTGTTAGGAACAAATGTTTGCTGCTCTTTAATATTCCATTAAGAAGCTCTCCATCAATAGCACGCACAACCTGACACTAACAAAAAGCACCCCGTCGAGGTCTACACACGCACGAACGAAAGGTCTACGCATACTCACCACTGCAGCAGAGCCACACAGGCCGAAGCTGAGCACGTAGCGCAGGTTCACTCTGTCCCCAATCACGCCGCTCAGATACAGACCCTGTGTGGGCGGGACCAACGGGAAGTGATACAAATGACAGAGAAGTTGACGACTGCACACAGAAAGCCCTGTTGAGTACTCACCACTGCATACGAGAAGAGGAAGATGGAGTCCAGAGCTCCCAAGAACAGAGTGGCCTGCTTTTCATCTGCAAACATATGATGGTCCTCCCACGTCTGCGACAGGCGAAGAGAAAACACAGATATGCATGTGCAGTTTTGTCTACAATAGGGGCGTTTAAATGTTACAGGTTGTTGTGCTGCTGGTGGTCTCTGTACCTCGCCGGGGGAGAAAGCTGGTGCGCTGCCATTCTGGACGGATGGCGTCCACTGGGCCGAGATGCTGACTTTCACATTGCTGAACGTCTTCCTGGACGCATGCAGCAGCACATAGCTGGAGAGACAGAAGACGGTTTTATTCAGCAAGTGAATCTTTATCTCAACCATCCATGTAGAAAGAACAGGTCAATGGTCATACCGACGCTGGAGGGGATGCTCAACACTTATAATATATATAATGGAGCAATAGATACAGTTTCAAAAAAGGGCAATTATGTACATTATAATGCCATACCACTTGACGTATTAATATTATTTTAAAGGATCTACATAGTTCTCTTGGGCTACTTAAGGTCACATACGGCAGGCAGTAAAGATTAAATTCCAGAGAAACGGTTCGATTCTGCTGAAAGAATTTACAAGAAACACTTCAATGCAACATGTTTATCAACAAAAACAGGAAATGGCTGAAACCCCAAATTTTCTGCTGAACAGCAGTTTTCACTGTGTACTGCTTCCTGTTGCAGACGGCACTTTGCTTTTGCTCCCGGTAGGAGTTTTGACATTGCCAGATAGATAAGGTGTGATACCACATCGACTGTACTTACAGATTAACAGCTCTGACTGAAATAAACAACGATTAATATCCTTCTCTGTTTAACACTGCAGCACATTTGCCATTTACAGGGTTTGAACAAGTAGACAAATAAAAGACCGATCCAAACACGTATAATAATAATAATTAACAAAATGCATGTTTTCCTTTTTTTTTCCTCTTCTGATTATTTTTTCCCCCCCAATTAGAAAATATTACAATTCATTTTCACTGCTTTTTTGAGACCTTTGAGACCCAAACTCAGTCTATTGGAAATCCAATCAATGACTTATTGTCCATGTTATCTTGACCTCGTCTGACCTGGGACCGTGTAACCTTGCCCCATAAACCTTTCACCTAAATGTACAGCTCACGTCCATTCAGTGTGTTTCGGCACACTCGGCATCCTCTTATTGAACAAAACTGCTGCAAAAAATTGGTTGGAAATCTAATTCCATCTTTCTTATGACTCTTTCCAATAAATATGCAATAAAAGAACAACACAAAAGCCTTAAAGAAACAGGTTACTGTAGCCCGAATGGGTCTTTTACAGTGGCGCCAGGTTAGAGGAAGACCTTTACGATGACCTGGATTACCTAAAGAAGGTGAGGAGGAAGACAACCAGATGATGGTGAGTGTACTGTGACAGGTAGCCACAGCACGAGGGAGGCATCACAGGGGTGGCCGAAGGGAGGAAGAGGAGGTGGAGGACGAGAAAAGGAAGCCTTCAGGGGGGAACACCAAAAGGACAAGGAGGGGGGGTCCAGCTATAGTGTCCCACTATGTCAGATGGGACAAGCACATCACTAAGGGGAACAACAAAGAAAAGAAGGGGTTGGAAACCAAAGTTAAAATGCTTAACTGCGTTTGAGTTCACCCAAGATTGTGGTGACCAGGTGATGAATATTATTTTACCTGATTATACCAGTCTTGGATTAATCCTGTACTACAAGAGGCAACACTAGCTCGTAGAAAGTAGTTATCCCCTTTGGGCTAAAAGAGCGGTGTGATTAGATGCATCTGGTGTGAATGCTGGGTTGTGCGCACAGGTATCAATGAGCCCAGTGTGTGTTGACTGCCTCTGAAACCACTCCACCTCTCCCACCAGCCCGTTCAGCTGCAGCGATGCATCGCCTCGTGTTGTTTGCAGAGGACTCTGCCTCAACTTGAGTACTGATCCAATACCAGTGCTGTATATCTGTATATTTCAAAGTGTGGAACTCATTCAGCTCATGTTATTGAAAGGTAAACAGGAGACCAGAGATTGAAAAAAACTGGCCCACTGACTGAATGTCTTGGACTTACAGCGAAAACACTGATATGTATTTTACACTGACAAATAAACTATATTTAATGTGGATCGGTTGAGGCTTTTATTCTGGGGGCCAGATGCCAACATGTTGAGAACCATTCATCTAAGAAACACTTTTATGAAAGTCAATTGCCTCCCTTTCATTTCCTTAATAAATCATTTCCTAACGAGACAATGTTTCTTTCACATGATTGTCAACCCCACCCATGAAATCCTGGCTGTTATTTAGGCTGCTGGGGTAAAAGCACTCTCTTACTATGTGTAGTAAAGGTGTATTATGAGTACGTAAAGCCACTTCAGCGGGACAGATCCTGCATTGAGAATGGTACTTGGGTAAAGGTGTGCAAGAATAATCAGGGAAATGTACTAAAAGTATAAAATGTAAAAGTACTCACTTCAGAAAAATGAGACTGTTTTCTTTCCTATTGATCGATTATTTGGTTTCAGGGCTTTCTGTCACAAAACCCTTTAGGTTCAGGAAACAGACCTACTTAGTTAGGTTTCAGAAAATATCAGCATCTGGGTTAGAAAGAACCCTTTCTGGCAGAAAGCCCTGAAGGTAAACTTCTCCCACGTGCCAAAATAACTTGTAAGACAACTCCCATAAGGTAAATAGTACTTCTCTGTTAGGTACCCTAAAGGTAACCGACATATGGGACACTGCACACCACACTAAAATAGAAAATGTAAGCAGGACGTCCCTTTTTAAAGGACACAATCAATTTTCTGTAGATTACAGAACAGACGGGCTCTAGATTGTGCCTCTCGTGCCTCTCGTGCCACGTTAATCACTGTTTTCGTTTATGACTTTTGTGTTCAAAGACACGGATTATATTCTTCGTAGAGGAACACAACTCATCTTTTATTCCCAATACGCCCATGGATGTGAAGTCATTTTAATTCATTTGTTGTAATTATGGGGAGCAAACAGCCAGTCAACAGAGCAGTTCATGTCCATCTCTGCCTCAGTGGGTGACATGGCACACATCGTTAGCTAGTTATCACTTGGTGACAGGAGCCTCTAATGTTACCTGGCGTTACATTGCAAGTTCCGGGTTCATTCCACCTAAAAGTCACAACAGACGTCTACAAATAAACAGCTAGAAGTCACAGTTTTAAACTCTTAACCAACAAACAAAAACCAAAGCGTTTTCTTACCTTTCTGCTCATGTAAGCGTCAGCTGGCTTGTTCTCTCGGTATGTTTACTGTGATTCCTTCTTCCCGCTTCTTCTTCGTCTCTGAACATTTACGGCAGTTGTCATCCACGATGTCGCATTACCGCCACACCGTGGATTTCTGTGTCACGGACATCGCTGCGCGCAGAGCACAGCGACGCGCTGCTGCCGCCAGCAGGACAGGAGTGGAACGACAGGTATGAGGAACTGAGGAGACAGCTGTTGAGCTGTCACCTGTCACTGTGACACTTGTGTGGGTAGAGCCAGCCCAACATCGGTTGCTTTGTACATAGTTTAAAAACTGCCCCGCCACAAACACCCCACTTCACTGCCTGACACCTCAACAGGGATCCAGCACCATAATTCTGGTAAGCCTTTAACATTAGTTTGCTCAGTAGGCCTAAATATGTGTTTAAACTATGTGTAAATATTTTAAGGGGTGACTCTATAAGATTAGACATTGTTTCAAATTTCCATTGTGGTTACATTTCATAGTATTACAAAGTATCATATAATATCAACACCATTAAATAATTCAAGGATTCAAAGGTTTATTTGTTGAAGTAGTAGGCTATGTGTAGTGAAGTGCTATGTGGAGCACACTTAAGGTCGTGCTAATAGAACAGAAAAATGAAATATAAGGATTAAAATTCAAATCAGAAAGTTGTACATATATGTAAAATATTAAAACGTCACAAGTGCAAAATGACAAAGTATCTTGTTGTATGCTTCCTATACCGATTCGTGAAACCCCTCTTGGCCATGTGAGTTCATTTATAATACAACAGTTCAAAAACACTTACCGGTAGTTTGTTTTTCTTTGGATGTAACATTCGAAGTCTCATGTCCTTTCTTTGTTCACTTGCTGTTTGCAAATCCCATTGGGCCTCTCCTATTCATATATTAATTTGTAAAAGAATAGACACCATGGGGCAATGAGGGTGAGCTACAGCTGCATGAGCAACTGTAGCCCAGAAGCAGTTGTGGTGTGAATTCCAACGAACTTCAAATTTGGAGGGAAATAATGTAATACAATAACGTCTGTCCCATGTGTCATTTCCCTGCAACTTGTAGGCAAGATTATGATATTAAAGTAGCTTCAGTCTGTTTCACGAGTCATTCATTCATTCTATCTTGTTCGTAATGTCAGCTATGAGAGGGACAGTCAGCAGATAGAGACATATACTAAGACAGAGTGAGGGACAGACAGGAGGGGAGAGAGAGAAAGAGAGAGAGAGAGAGAGGGGAGGGGGGAGAGAGAGAAGAAGTCATATTCTGTGTGTGGGGAGAGAAAGAGTGAATCAAATTTGAAGATTGGAGAAGAGACAGGGAGAGAGGCGTACAGTCTCTATTCTCTCTCAATTAAACCTCTGACGACTCACTTCAAGGCTTAATTCGAGCTAGAAAACCTAATGCAGACTGTTTAGAGGAGGTTATATCAATGGATACTGTTACAGCAGCATCGGCTGCATTATGCTCCCATTTCACTAATGAACACATGGAAACTTTACGACAGAAGGAGGTAAGAAGCCGCTTTGATTTTGTGTGTTTAATATACAAGATGAGTGGGATTTCCACTCAGTGTTATGAGAATAATGGGGTTTCATTCTTAATTTAATTGAGTCATATATGTTGTACTTGGTCTTCTAAATAACTGAGAAAAAAAAGTCAGAGTAGGAGAAAATAATATATATTTCTTATCTTTCTGGGAGGTCATCTGGGCATTTTGTGAAAGCAACCTCTAGCGTAATGATAACTGCGACCGCTTTGATTAATAATGCAGCTCTGGATAGCTTGCTGTCTTTATCACACAGTAACTATGTAGCTGAATCTGTTTCTCAGCTAATCAGCGACAGCCGCCGTCTTTCAGGGCTGCATGCGGTCTCTCTTCTCATGCAAACTGTCATTCGGGCCACATATTAACTAAACAAATGATGACAACGGCCTCATTGTTGGGAAATTACCAAGCACTATCTCTCAGGCCACTGCACTTTGAAACATTGGCCTGAGAGATGTGAAAAGTATGAGAGTCAAGAGGTGGAAGGCAGAGCGGAGCAAAGGTTGGTCTCCTGTGAGGAGAATAAGGAGCACTTAATGAACAGAAAGGGCAGAGAAGAGTGATTCAATCATGCATGAGTTCCCTGATGACTATTGAAATGTTGGTGCGTGTGAACATCTTGTTTTGCCTCGAGTCGGCCCAGCTGGCCCACGATTACCATACATTACCAGCTGTGAATGATGGCCACACTGCCTAAAATGTTAGAAAGGACCTTAATCTCATGTTGACCCATAGAGTGAAAAAATAAAAAGTGTGTGCAGATGTATTCAGCTTCAAGCCTGAGGCTAATTGTCATTTGGAGCCAAAACCAGACTGGATGCCAAAAAAAATGTTAATGTGTGGATTCTGAATGCCACATTCAGCTTAAGAGGTTAAGATGCTTTCCTCTCTATCTCCGTCTCAGGTGTACAGTGATCATGGCGGCCACTAAGAGCATGCCGGACTGCATCTACTCCACTGTCAACAGGTTTGTATGAGCACAGGTCTATCAGTGAACATTGTCCCTGTAGGAGATGGACACTTTCCTCACAATTTCCTCCTGAGAAATAAGTAACACGGCTTAACTTGCCCTTTATTCGTCACATCCATGAAGGAGAAGTCAGAAAAGGTCTTTCCCATTTCCTCTTGTTTATTTATTAAAATATAACAGTTTGATGAAATGGGCTATGGTCCAAGTATGTGTTTATTTAGCGAGTCTGATGAGAAGAAGATGCTTGGTCATAGCCTTGTCCTCTGGCATTTACTCTCAGGCGGAATGTTCCCACTGTCGCCAGAAAAAGACAAAGTGTCCCCTAACTGGCAGTCTCAGTGATTGTATGGGAAGTCTAGGAAACTATGATAGCAGTCAGTAACTTAGCCCTTTGTTAGCATATTATTGCATTCTTTTTTATTTACTTCAGGCAATCAGTGATACAATCATTTAGAAGGATGTGTTTTACTGAGGAATTCTATAAAACGTTGCTTCTCTACATTTTTTTGTTTTTCTTGTGAAACCCCTCAGATGAGCTCAAGAATCCATCACCAAATGTCAAAATTTCAATTGATTTTTAAAGTTTATTTACTTATTAAAAAAAGAAGATATTATAAAAAATGTTTTTTCATACAATTGATTAAGTTGCTTTGATCAAGTTTTCATTTTCATTTATCCAAAGCGACTTACAATTCAGATTCTATCACATTTCTACACTGTAGGCACAGCTATGGGAGCAATTTTGGGGTTAAGTGTCTTGCTCAAGGATGCATCGACATGCGACTAGCGATCCTCTGATTGAAGGACGGCCCTGCTATCCACTTAGCCACAGTCGCCTATCTATTTTAACTGTTTGGCCAATATATCTAGCTAACTATTGAAAACACTTATCCAATACTTTTAGCTATTGGAACTGTTTATCACTTATTTTTATGTTGCTATTTCAGCTAGGTTTCACACTCTCAATGGCAACACATGGTGGTCAAGTGTTAACTGACTTCATTTCATGTTTATTTGACAGGACCAAACACAATATACACAGATAATTGCACAACAATTATCCAATGCAATGTATCACAGCATTAACTGCTAATTTCCAATCCTTTAAAATAACAAATATAAAACATTTTCACAGATCACAACGTTAAACTACGTGGTACATTTTGTTGACCTTACAGGAAAAGCTGTAGGTTGGTGGGAGGTGTGCAGTAAATATGGCAGTTAGTGATACTGATCATTGTGTCAATATATTTACTAAAGATCTGCAGCACACCAGTTTGTAATCCTATTTGAACTGTTTGTTTTTGTGTATTTAAATTTATGTTAATGTGTCTTGTCTTTGTGTGTTCAGGGTAAAGAAGGGCTGTGCTGGTGAGAGAGGTGATTTCCATATCTCTTCAGGAGAAAACAAGAAAGCTAGGAAAAAAAGAGAGGTGGCACCAAAACTCCCCTTCACCCCACTAGACAACCTGAACAACCAGCGGGGAGAATCACCCACGATGGCTCACAGGAGGCCGAGCTTCGACCCTCACAGCAATGAGAGCGCTCTCTTGGTGAGCAACAAGCTCCCCAGATCCAATGGAGCCAACATCAAGGACAAGATTTCTCTATGGGAGGGGAAGGAACCCACACATTCACCAGTTACCTCAGGTTCTTTGGGCCAGTGCGCCGGCATAAAAAGGACAGAATCCCTCACAAAAACCAATAAAACTTCTGATGAGTCGAGTGCAGAGAGTTGCAGGAGAGTAGCTCATAAGGAAAAGGAAAATCCTGGGAAAGAGAATGTTGGAAATCTTAGTGATTCAAGGCCTTGTTCACCTGTTGAAACTGGGAAACAGCAAAGAGGGACGCTTAAGAGCGGCAAGCCCAGTGAAAACCACAAAGGGGAGGATAGCGGCAGAGTCGTGCACAAGGAAAAGCAAGATCACGAGAAAGAGAACTTGGAAAAGCTTGTTGGTTCAAGGCCTTGTTCGCCGACAGTAGCAGTACAGCAGCCAGTGGGGACGTTGAGGAAAAGCAATGAAAGCCAGGAGAAGAGATCTGTATTCACCCTTTTTAAAAACCTGGAGGCTATGGGGGAGAACCACGGGAAAACCCCTCCGGAGCTTGGAAACTACTTCAGTCCACCGAGCAAGGACAAACAGGTGGGTCAAACTAGTGCAGCGAAAGGGAAGCAGCCCCGGGAGAATGTGTACACAGAGCCAGGGGCGCCCCCAATCAACCCAGTCCCCAAACCCCAACGCACCTTTGAGCATCCAGCCAGCGCCCCCATTGGGAAGAGTCAGAGGAAGGGGAGAGAGCAGAGGAACCTCCCCCCACTGCCCTCCATCTCTACAAAGACTTCCTCAAAACCTCCATCTGGTGTCTATGGGAGACCCAGGGGAGAGAGAGTCAGAGACAACGTCAACAGGTATAGAGGGAACACAAATGAAATGTGTGGCTCATATACTAGCCAGAGCTAAACCTATAAAACACAACATATAGTTTTGTGGCCATAGTAACAGTTAGACCTGATGTTACGAGGAATGAGAAAAAAATCAATTATATTAACAAATACATTTAAACATCTTCCCTCATTCGCACTTTTCTGTTCCCCATGACAGGAAATCCTTTGAGTTTGAAGACCTCGCAGGGTCAACTAGCCCGCTGCTCTCTCACTCACTGTCTCAGGAGCATCACTATGAAGACGTCCCAGGTCAGACATTGTCCATTACTGATTCGCCTTTTTAAATACACTTATTTGCTCTCTCGCCAAGAGTTCGATGAGAAGAGTAGCTTTGCATGAAGACGTGAAACAGGGAGAATTTGTGGTTTTTGGTCAAGTTATGTGCTTGACTATTTGTTGGCTGTGGTCCAGTGCCTCCCTGAAGTTTTCCGGGTCGGCAGAGCCAGGTTTTGCAGCTTCACCCCGCTTTCAGTCTTTGTGCTAAGCTAAGCTAACTGTCTCTCGGCTGTAGCCTCATAGTTATCGGCCACTAAAAAAAGGTAATACGGGTATTTGCCAAATTGTCGAACTATACCCCTATATTCAAACTAAGATGTAAACTGTAAAACAGGGGCCACAGCTCATGGATGTGTCCCTGGTATTTTCGAGAAACCAGTGTGTTACCACATGGATTAAATGTTTTTCATGTTTTTCCACTCTATCATCACCGACATTCTGCAGAAAATGATGTTGTAGGACATAGATATAGGATATTTCTACTGGCAGCTTCAGCCTAAAAATATCAGAATAGCCATTTTGTTTGAATTTTGAGAAATGCCTATAAACGTGTGTTAGACATTGCCATCTTTGGTTTCCCTCCAGACTCGTCCAAAGAGAACCCATATGAGGACATAGAGTTGGAGAGTCAATGCTCCCAGCAGTCTCTGCCCTCCTCTCCTGGCGCCGATACCACCAAGGTTCTTGCAAAACAAGCCAAGCATAATACTTAGCAATGACACCACTTCTTTTCCAAATGACTATAAAAACTGTATTTTGTTCTTTGTCTGTAGACCTCGAGGCCTGGCTTCTTCAGGCAGAATTCAGGCAGAAGCTTCAAGCTGCTGGACCTGCGGAGAACCAACCAGTCGCCCCGCCGCACCAGCAGCGGGGGCGTTTCATCTCCACCCCAGCTTAGCCCTCCCTCCACCCCCGCTGGGCCTGAAAACACTTCCTGGGTGCCCGGAGATCCCTACAGCCGCACCTGCCGCAGGATACCAACGGTGTGTGTTTGAGAGCTGTATATGTATTAGCTTACCCAGAAATCCCTGAACTAGAGTAGACATTTTATCCTATAACCCTAATGCTTACCACATTACTTACAGATATTCAGCTTTAATCTAAATCAAGTGTGGCTACCAGGTTCCTCTGTAGGTGCCAAATTAGTATGAATTTGTGTTTTGTTCTCATCCTTGAAAGATATGCTGATGTATTCAATCCCACTGATTCAGAGCTTTTCCCCAACAGGTTGTACTAAGAATCAACAGCATCTTTGAGGCTCGGATCGGGAAGAAACATCTACGAAGGATCTATCATTACGCTGAGACAAGCTCAGGGAGAGGTGATGATGCTGACATTACATTTTTAAAACCTTTTTCTAATGCCTATAATGTAAATGTGGAGTTTTGGCTTCAGAGACATGACTTTTGTTTGCAGTTACAGATGAGAACAGCGACTCTGAGAGTGAAGTTGAAGAAAGAGCAAAAGGTAGATTACACAGAGCATTTCTTTTTTTTTTTTTACACCTTTTGACATCTTCAATTCATAACCATGCTGTATCTTACTTTCCTCTTCTCCAGCTCATCGTCAGCGTCTCAGGTCAGTCAAGTCCATACTGAGCAAACCAAGCCAGGCCCACTACAACAGCACCAACACCAGAAACAGCTCTCTGGACCAGGAGCTCCACCAGCGTCGGCTCTTTGAGTATTTTCTAGTCGTGTCGCTGCAGAAGTCGAAAGCTGGTGCCCACTATCTGCCGGAGGTCACACAGCAGTTTCCCCCGAAGGTCAGAATGTTTACTTGCCATCTTGTTTTACAGGAGCAAACCACAAACTTAACTCATCATGTAATCATCATCACTACTCAGGAAATGTTGGATCCAGTCTTCTGTTTTTGGACTCACATTTAGGACAAAGAATTCTGCTGCATTGATTTTGACCATTCTTTAAACATCTCTTGTGAGTCCACAATCTTCATGGAAGTGCAATGTAAAAAATCCCAGAAGTACCACTTTAACTTTTGAGACCTAATGCCTCAAAATATAAATGTCTTTAACCTCAGCCAGACAATAGTCAATAGTAACTGATGCCGATTCAACCAGACTAGATTCTCTTACTACAAAAAGCTGAAAAAGGAAGAGAGAGGAGTTCTTTGTTCATACAGTAACTTTTTAGCTACCCTAATTCCTACATGCAAGCCTTTACCTGTTGATTGTGGACAAATATGCATGAAATAATGATGGAAATTAAGCTAAAGAAAATGCACGAAAGTAGTAAAAACAAACTTATAACTTTTGTTATGTTGCAGCTGGAGCGGAGCTTCAAGTTCATGAGGGAGACAGAGGATCAGCTGAGGATCATTCCTCAATTCTGTTTCCCTGATGCAAAAGACTGGGAGCCGGTGGAGAACTACCCAAGGTGAGAGTGTAAAAGTTACCGTAATGCTACTGTTTATGAAATGCCACATACATTTAAGATGATTTCATGGTCAATAGTACTGGAGAACTTTTATTACCGCTAGAAGACTTGTTGTTTAACCCATGATAGACATGACTGCTGGACTGGACTGATGATGTATGAGTCCCTTTAGTCAATTTGTATGAACATAACTATCTATGTATATTTCTCAGATGTACAATCAAAATATACTAATCGCATGTTTATTTGTGTATCTGTTGTGGGTCATCCCTCATAGTGAGATGTTCTCCTTTGTTTTGACTGGAGAGGATGGGAGCAGGAGGTTCGGATACTGCCGGCGTTTACTGGTAAATAGAAACGACTTGAATAAATAAGTGCGCTGCTACTGAACAGGAAGTGGCTAAATACCACAATCACGGCTGAGTAAATAACCGTGCCAAAATAGACAACGTGCCTGTGGGAAAATAGTCCTTCTGAGAGTCTGGGAGGAAGTGTGTGAGAATGTTTGTGTGTGTGTGTGTGTGTGCATTTGCATTTGTTTCTGTCTGTCTATTTCTACAGTATATGTTAGTTTCAGAGCTGTTGATAGTATAGTATAGCAATATGTTTTCATTTTACAAATGTTTATGTGGCCTCTGTCATGTTGAAACCTTGCAACTCTTCGGGACAGATCACATTATCCTTAAGGATACTTATAAAATACTTTAAAAAAACAGTTGTTAATCCTAGAAAATACTTGGTCATTAAACTGAATTACATTACAATAAATACATTCAAAAGGTTCATGTTTCTGAGTTTTTCCCAGACCAGCAGCAGCAAGTAAACGTCCCCCCTCTCTTTTCAGCCCAGTGGAAAAGGTAAACGTCTACCAGAAGTCTACTGTATTGTCAGTCACCTCGGCTGTTTCAACCTGTTCTCCAAGGTAAACCACTCTCACTGGTTCCTTATCATAATATTGTTGACATAAAAGTAATTGAGCAAATTTACAAGGTGTGTGTGTGTGTGTGTGTGTGTGTACTGTAGGTGCTGGATGAGGTGGAGAGGCGGAGGGCTTTGTCTCCAGCCCTTGTGCAGCCTTTTATGAGAGCCATCATGGAGGCTCAGTTTCCAGCTCCAGGCAGAACCATCACCATCAAAACTTTCCTCCCTGGCTCAGGCACTGAGGTGACTGACACTTCAATATTGAAATTAACCCTGTTAACCTGTTTCTAGTCGATATGTTCGATAAAGGTAAATAAAAAAAACTATTTTTTAACCAGTGTTCATGGTGTGCTATAACTTTGTGGATTTATCCCTCTTAATCCCAGGTGATGGAGCTCTGTCGGCCCTCTGACTCGCGCCTGGAGCACGTGGACTTTGAGTGTCTGTTCTCCTGTCTGAGTCTGCGCCTGCTCCTCCGGGTGTTGGGGTCTCTGCTGCTGGAGCGAAGGGTCATCTTCACCGCTGACAAGCTCAGGTCGGTCCCTCCACTGGAGCTATTGCTCCTGTAGACTTACACAATAGCCCAATATGAGGTTGCACTAAACATCCTTCTTCCATCCTTTATGTAATTATGGAGTCGGCAGATATTAAGTTCAAGCCTCAGAGATGTTTTCATTATGAAGTTAGAAAGAAACACGGGTGGTCCAGACCCTCATATTTAAAATAAATTTAAGGCAGCCCCAGTTTTATTCAGGGAACACGCCAGAGAGATATTTTGAGGCCAGTCTGTTGAGCTGTTGTCGTGCTGGGGCCGGATTGTTTGTTCTGCAGGAGAAAGCCAGTGGGAGTCAGAGAGAGCGGTCACAGTAGTGGAATGTGAAGTTAAGTGACGTAAATGAAAGAAGTATGTAACTTTGCTTTCCTCTCTGGGAAATGTTACTGTAGGGAATATTCACTGGGATTAGACTGTATTTTAAACCATAGCCCCCTCATGTGGTGAGAATGAGTATTACTTACTTATTGTATCTTTCGCTGCCTCTCCCTCTCTCTCTCATCCAGAAAAATATCTACTATAAAGACTTTAAACATGCAATGAAAAGCGTTCCCTTTTGTGCTCATCATCATTTGATAATATCTGATTGCCCTCCACTCATTCTCCCCGTGTCTGTCCTTGCAGTACTCTCTCCAAGTGCTGCCATGCTGTCGTGGCGCTGCTTTACCCCTTTGTGTGGCAGCACACCTACATCCCCGTGCTGCCCTCGGCCATGCTCGACATCGTCTGCACTCCAACCCCGTTCATCGTTGGCCTGCTGTCCAGCTCCCTGCCCCAGCTCACTGAGCTGCCCCTGGAGGAGGTCAGAAAGGCACTAATTCTAAGCAGTCGTTCAGAGAAACTTGAGCCATATAAAGAAAAAAATATACTTATTTGCAGCTGTGAACAGATTTATCACATCAATGCAGCAACAATAAATTAAGGCTTTCTGTGCTCAGGTTCTGGTTGTGGATCTTGGAAACAGTCGATTTCTCAGACAAGTAGGTCACGTGTTGTATCACATATATGGCTCTGCATAATCCGTATGGATGTGGAACAAATTATTTCACCCTTAACTCCCCTACAAATCAGTTTTCTATCCTGTTTGTCATGTTTAGTTGGACGATGAGGACTCCATCCTGCCCTCTAAGCTCCAATCAGCCCTGGAGACTGTTCTGGAGAGGAGAAGAGAGCTGGCTAATGAGAGAGGAGGAGACACACCTGGTGGTGAGACATATCAAGGACTGACACTGAAAACTAGCAATTCAATTTTGCAACTGAGCAAGTTCACGATCCAATGTTTATCTTCTTCTCTTCAGATTCTGGCCATCTTAGCACCGTTGTGTCCGAGGCCTTCGTGCGGTTCTTCGTGGAGCTGGTAGGCCACTATCCACTCTTCATCACAGGGGAACGGGAAGACGGCTACTCGTCCTCTTCTTCCTCCCCGGTCCCCTGCTCTTTCCAGCGCGAGGGTTTTCGTAAAGCAATCCCGTCAAAGACTGTGCGTCGCTTCCTGGAGGTCTTCATGGAGACCCAGATGTTCGGCTGGTTCATCCAGGAGAGAGAGCTCCACAGGCAGGCTCTGAGAGGTAAAGAGCTGCAGTGAAAACAAGAGGGCCGGCTGCTGGGGAGCTGATGCAGTGATTCATGATTCTTTCTCTTTCATCAGGACTGTTTGAAGTGAGGGTGCAGGAGTATCTAGACTCCATCCACGAGAATGAACACCGGAGGGTTAACAGGTTTCTCAAAGGCTTGGGTGAGTTTGTTTCTGAGCTGTTCTTTCCTTGTTGTAGTGAAACAAACTCTGTGAAAACAATCTACAGTAGGCTCATTCTCACCTTGAATCACTCTTGTTTTTTTCCCTTTGCTCTAGGAAACAAAATGAAATTTCTTTCCAAGAAATAAGGCCACTATAATTGCACACAAAGAGACACAAACTAAAAAGAAGAAACACTGAAACAAGGAAAGACTTCACGGACTGCAGAAATCCAACAAAAAAAATGATCACTTGAATGCTTTTATTTTTTAGATACGCTCGTTCACGCCATCCTCATCTGTGTCACCGTGTGAGACTTTTCCTCAAGGACTCATGATGGACACAGTGAAGCTCTAGTGAATCCCAAAAAAGAAAAATCCTGCTGTATTTCACATACATATTGAAACATGGGACTGTAGACTCACAGAAATACATAAGAGGTTCCTGGTTGGTTGGTTTTTTTAGATTACATTCTTCAGGCAACAACATTCATGAGCACAAATAACACAATTTATGAAGATTAAATTGGTCCGAGGTATAATGCTGTAAGATACATATGGCTGGCAAATTAAAGGGAAAACCTGAATATATGAGTATAGAGTGCAAAGGACACAAGGGGTCACTGAATGGTTTGATGAGTATGATAATTAGGACGTTTGGTAGTCAGTCAACCTTTCACTGTTACTTGACTTGAAAGTCCACAGTCACCGCACTCTCTAAATCCACAAGGGGGCAGTAGTTTGTTTTCTTTGATTAGATGATCTTCACATTGTCAGTGACTGACCAGAAAATGACATAGACCTGCTTTCCTGATCTTTAATGCTTCTTTAATGTTTTTTTTATCATAGCAGTGACAACATCACAAGAAAATGAATAAAATAAAACAAAATAGATAAATATTCTCAGCTTGGTGTTTTGAACTTGAAGTGGTGAGTTACTGTTTTGACGTTGCCGTGCTCCCCCCACCATTGAAACAAATGGCTCATATAATCAATGCATTACATACTTACAGTTTGGATGTCATCATTGTAAACTTTGTAAATCTCTCACCTCCCTCCAGTTTGTAGATTAGAAACGGTTGCATCAATTGATGGTATGAACATACGGTATAAGACACTGTGCTCAAAATATTTGTATTTTATTACACATTGCAAAATGCTGAGCTGAAAATCAAAGCCAAGTTAATTGCATTCACTCAGCATTTGTGTGTCAGTTTTACACAGTGAGTAATCCGCATACCACCCATTCGCTAACCAGTCACTGTGTTTGTGTGCTCAAAGTTATTTGGCCTTTTTACTACAAAGAGCCTCGGTTCAGAGTTGGTGGCAGCTTTACTATTTTAGTCTCTGAGTCATGGAAACAAAGCAGATCTTTAGCCCACGAAGAGGAAAGCACATCTTTGTCAGCATGAAAACACAACACAGGTGCAGAGCAGAGCATAGTAGTGTATTGTTTTGGGGACCAGTGCGCTCAGTTCGTGCCTGCTGAGCAAGCCCAAGGGGCCCCCAGGGCATCGCCCAGCAACCCAATCTGTCATCTTGTTAGTGGCAAGTTCACACACACCCGCTGACACAGATGTTGATGCATACACACAGATGCACAGAGAGTACAAAACATGTCAAACAGATACAGGCTCATAATTGTACATACTCTAAAACAATGATGACCACCCAGAGGTATTTGCACCCCAAGGAGCACTTCTGCATTTGCCCCTGGGTACACTGGGTACAGTGAAAACGTCATGGAATAGCAAATGTGAAAACCATACCGCAGCTTCCTATCTGGCTCCCAAGGTGGGAAAGCTGTGGTGCTGTGGGACAGGAGGCGTCTCGGGAAGATGGATGGATGTGGTGAGAGAAGAGCGCTGACGGCTGCCAAAATGTTGGCTCACAGACTCAGGTTCTCGCACTGAGTTTGTGTGCAGATGGGTGAACAGCAAACCCAAATTGTCACATATCGTTTCCTGCTAAACACCTGGCCGTGGCTCAAGACAACCAGCTCGTTAGTGCGGAGGTAATTATGGATTCCATTAATTCTAGCCAGCAGGGGTTGACCCCCAAAGCCTTACATCCTGCACTGGTGTATTTCCACAGCAAACCTCCCTGTGGAATATCTCTCACCACTGCAAATGTCATGCGTTTTCAGTCAGGGAGAGAGAGCACCCTTCTCTGCCACTTAGAAACAACAATAGCTTGTTGAAACTCTAATCTTCCCTGTAAAGTGCCTTTCACAGGTCCCTATAACCTGACTGGATTCCACCTCACATGTGATACCACATTATGCTGGTAATTGAAAACATCTACCTGCAAGAGAGAACCTGCTGCAAAACTCAGCGTTGCAACGTACCGATGCAGTTATGCCTATTAATCTGAACAGAAATACAATCATACAAACATCACGGTCCATTAAAACCAACCACCAATTCAATTATAAAGTCTCTCCGGAGATTTATTGACCTCCTTCCAAGGCTTGCAAACTTGCATTTAGAAACCCTCTGGAGGTTGCCTCTGCTAATTACGTGATTTATGTTGTAAATTATGGCGGCGGGGAGGTGCAGCAACTAAGCAGCACTTGCCATCAATCAAAATGAAAAGTGCAATGTTATTTTCCATCATTCGGTTTTATTTTCTTTCATATCTTCTCTCCCACAAACCTCAATCAAAAAGGCCGTTTTGGCAGGTTGAATTTGCTGAAGAGCTTGGGGTCATGACGGTAACTCCCAGCGTGCCATATGCAATTTTGCACAAATTATGCTTGTGTGCCTCGGGTATTTTTGTCTTCACAACACAAATATGGTACTTACAGGCTCCCATAGAGTCTTTTTGTGCCTGATTGGAAGCTATAGAGAGACACTGCTCTTCTTAACACTGTCACATTGATTGCCTGACGCTGCCTGTATGATTGCACAAGTGTGAGAATAACAAAGGAGAAATAAGTAGGAAAGTAAAAAGGCCTCGAACATGCACCCGTCAGCTTGTTTTTTGGAGTTGCAGGTGCAGTGTCCAGCTGCAGCCCTGCCATGCATGCCAGCGGAATGAATCATTTCCCCCGTTCAGAGGAGGAGCCATCGAAGCATTATGGAGAACATAACAGCAAGGCAGGAGGAGGTGGGAGAGGAGGAAAAGGCCAGGAGAGGAAAGGAGAGGTGAATTTGACAGGGAAGAGGTGAAGGGCTGCAGAGTAGGTGACAGCAAAGAGAAAACAAAAGGCAGGATTTCCATTTTGCTGCTGCTACGCCACGTTACAGCAAAGCCTTTTAAACTGTGGACGCAGACCAGAAGCTGGCAAAGAGTGGAGGAAGTGGGAAGAAAAAGGAGAGAGGGAGACGTGCAAAGTCAGAATAGTGTGAGGAAGGCAAAATCATTGTGGGTTGTGAGTTTCTTTTTTTTTGTGGCTGCTGTTTCTCGCTCTCTAATCTCAAATTGTGAAAGAAAGAAAACAAGCCATAAAGGCTCAGAAAAAAAGGTTTAAAGAGAGAGAGAGAGAGGGGGGGGGGGGGGGGGGGGG